CGTAACGAGTTGTTCTGACTCAGCGACTCACTGACTGATTGGGTGGCTCACTGGTTGGCAGGCAGGCAGACAGGCATCCATCTTTTGATCTGGTCGTCTATCCACAAAGTTAGGTAGGTGGTGACTTCAACGTCAGCAGAAAAATCACACTGCAGATTATATGGACATGGAGACGCTGATGGCATGCATGCATGCATCAAGAAATGGTCCAAAATTTTGGGGTGCTACCTTCTTCACCCGAATACACTGTACATTCATTATCGCTGTATTTGGGCTATCTTTCCGTCTAAATACAACAATAATGACCGTACGTTGTATTCGGGTGAAGAAGGTAGCTACCGAAACAAAGAAAAAGAAAGACACAGGAAGTGCCACGAGAGACAGCATAGACGCAGACAGAAGTGCAGGCAAGATAGAAATCGCGTGCGAAAAACAAATGACCAAAGTTAGGGCCTTCAGTCCAACAGCGACCATAAAAGTTCTTCAAGGAGACAGAAAATGCTTCTGCAAGAAAAATCTCTCCTCCCCTCCAAGGAAAAAGTCCCCCCCACAATTGACGACTTACGTAAAAGATGGAAGCAGCCCATCAGCCGGCATGGCTCCTCCATGCTGATCACTGATCAGGTCCTTCAGGAAAACACGATGTGAAGTGCCTTGGCTCATCAACTCAACAATCATAGAGCCAAATAGCTGATGAGTCTATGTGGTCCCCACCACCTCCCCTCTCACCCCTGTCTCTTATACACATCTAGATGTGTATAAGAGACAGGCCTTGGCTCATCAACTCAACAATCATAGAGCCAAATAGCTGATGAGTCTATGTGGTCCCCACCACCTCCCCTCTCCCCCCCCCCCCCCCCAACCCAACTGCATCAGCTGAGGCTGTACCTTTCCCTATCTGTTGATAGTCTGGTCTCTTCCCCTCTTCCCCTTTCTGCCCCCCCCTCCCTTCCTTTTCCCTCTCCCCCCTCTTCACTTCCTCCCTTCTCCTCCCCCCACCCCCCACTCGCCACCAGCACCTACTCTTGCCTTCTAAACACACATAAATACATAATGCCTGTTTCTATCCACAGCCCCATACATTCATAAATCGTGGCGATTGTGGATCGAGCAAATGAACCGACTTCGAAACTTCAAAGTCCAAATAAGTTGCAACAAGTTAATAACCAATCACTCCTAGATTCCAGGGGTGGTTGGTCTGGTGCAGCACTGTACAGTGTGCTAGCGGTGCTGATAGGAGCAGACACCACTAGCACCTGGGGAGAGGCTCCATCTATTGGTGGGGAGCGTCACCTGCTGGAAAGCGGGTCCAGCGTCCCTTATACAGATTTCAAAATGTGGTGTGCTCCTGCCAGCATCTGTCTCTTATACACATCTAGATGTGTATAAGAGACAGCTCTTACATGGTGCAAAACTTGAGCAGCAGCAGCATCCTTTGAGCAAGTACTGCACTGCTTCATACAGGTGGGTAGCTAGGGGGGTACACTACTGAAAACCGTCCTGAAAGTCGTGGACGGACAGCCTCGTTCCCCCCCAACGCGTTCTGATTATATATTGAGGGGTGGTATGTGTGCATGCAGTCTTGACCAATCATGGTTGGGCATAGCCCCCCACCCCACCCAAGCAGGGAATGCTCCCTTTCTTTCCCTCGTATGTGTCCTGTTTTTCCATCACAAGTACCCGGGGCAAACTTACTCATTATACAAGAGGGACCGACACACATCACATGGAGACTGCACCCAAAAAATGTGCCACCCTTCACCATGATGATTTCTGCAGAGCCTCTAAATAAATACCAAGAGCGCACCCCCCCCTCTTTCCCACACTGGGAAAGCTGCAGTTGCCAGTTGGTTCAAGCTGACCATGAGTCTTTCCACCCAGTGGTGCAGTTGTCTCAGCTGTGACGGTAGATTCACCACGCCAGGTTGTTCTCCGCCCAGCGTAGCCTCTTGTTAATAACTTTGCCGCATGTCAGGGTGCTCTCCGCCCAACAAAGTGTATATATACCCTCTGTCCATGAACTGTTGCTGAAATACAGACCAGGTGCTGAGTTCAAACTCCACTGGAAGCAGATCGGCAAGACACTGCAGTTCTGGATATTACCCTCTGCTGTGAAATAGGTTGACGGTCGTCAGCTATTTGTCTCTTCACAAACACCGTTGCTCATCGGGCGCCGAGCGGGCGTACACTGAGTTCGAACTCCAGGTACGCTGCTGTCCTCCCTACACTTCTCCAGATATTTGTCACTGTACCTCTTCTCTCCATAGGCTCTTGTACCCATGACTATAGGCTCTTGTACCCATGACTACCTTCACATTTTTGGTTGTGGTCGTGAGCGGTTTTTGGTCACGTGCCGCGAACCCGTGAAACCTGTGTTGATTCTCCGACTGCGCCGCATGCCCCTCGCCCACTGTTTTTCCTCCTCGACCCTTGATCTGCCTCCCATGTTCTTGGGTGTGATCGTAAACCTGTCTTCGTTCTCAGACTGTGCTGCGTGCCCCTCCCCTCCCCCAACTGTTTTCCCTCCTCGACCCTCGCTCTCCCCCGTTGTCCGCTCTCCTCCCTGCTTGCTCTCCCTCCATGTTTTTGGGCGTGGTAGTGAGCGGTTCTTTGTCATGTGCCGTGAACCTGCGAAACCTGTCTTGATTCTCCGACTCTGCTGCGTGCCCCTCTCCCGGTGCTTGCCCTCTTCGCCCCTTGCTCTTCCCTGTTGTTTCCCCTCCTCGCCTCTTGCTTCCCTCCCTGCTTGCTCTCCCTCCATGTTTTTGGGCGTGGTTGTGAGCGGTTCTTTGTGATGTGCCGTGAACCTGCGAAACCTGTCTTGATTCTCCGACTCTGCTGCGTGCCCCTCTCCCGGTGCTGTCTCTTATACACATCTAGATGTGTATAAGAGACAGAGCATGGCCCCTGCGCTTTCAAGGATGACACACATAAATTTCATACGCTACGATTCAGCAACATCAGGGAACCGAAAAAAAGAAAAAAAAACTTT